AGACCTCTTATCTTTATGAAACTTGATTTCCGAAGTCTAAAAATGTAGACTTAAATAATAAATATAATTTCACAATTCTAACTACATATTGAAAATTAACATATATCAAGTACAGCCTGGTAACTATAATGCAGGGAGTTAACAACGCTACAAAATATTAGTAATATTAATTAGCATCAATTATCTCCACCTAAAACAGTGTCAATTTTTTCACACATATATCACAAAATCAACCCTTTTTGAGATCTATGTGCGAAAGTCCGAAGTCTAAAAATGTAGACTTAAATAATAAATATAATTTCACAATTCTAACTACATATTGAAAATTAACATATATCAAGTATACCAATATAATTATATTAAAAACTATTATAAAAATTATATTTTATACTGAAGTATTAATATTTTGAAGATAATGTAAGTAATTTGTTGATGTATTTAAAGTATAATCCTAAGATATAAAAGCCTTCATAAAATTGCAATAAAAATTTCTTTATTTAAATTTAATACTAGCGTTGATAGCATTGACAGTGAATTGTTTAGATAAACCTCAAAGAATATTCGTTTCTATTAAATCACATCAATTCATAATTATTGATTGCATTTATCTCTTATGAACACTAATCTCAATACTATTGTTTGTATCACATTTAGTCACCAAGACTATTTTGGGCAATATGAATTTAATCATTATTAAATGTTATATTTTAAATTAATATATAAACTAAATAATTATTAATTTGTTTATAATTAAATATTTAATATAATTTAAAAATTAACCATATTTTTATACAAATCATAAAGTATGCATTTAAATTTTATACAATTTTTATAAACTATCCTGGTTGTCTATTATAAAAATAATCAAGCACACTTAAGATATAATTTCATTAACGTAAGTCTGAGAAAATAGATACCACATAAAAAATTTATTCAGTTAAAGTAAGCAATAAATATACAAATAAATATTAACTCAATAATAAATAAATATTTATAAATAACAGTGTCTAGGTCAATGTGAACAGCCATGTCACAAATGATCATATACAGTATAGTAGCAATACTCTCATGGTCATGCATTGTGGTTAATTGCGATGATATTATATTTACCAAGGATAATATAATAGTAGACAGTAGATTACCGACATGTGAGCAATCGGTATTTTCTTTACTGCCATTTGTGGGCCAATGGTTTGACACCCCGTCTACTATCACACCCGCTATGCGGCGAAAAGCATGTAATCTTATGGGACAAACCGACCTGGAAGTCGACGACCAGGTAGATTTAATATTAATTAATTACTTTTAAAAATACTAGTTAACATTTAAATAAAAATAATATCTTTATGAATAAGATAACAAGTAATAATATAATTTAGTATGTAAGCTTGATAAAATAAATAAAATAACTTTATATTATTTATATCCTAAAGTGTCCATTTGGCAATGAGTGCGAGGTGATTTGCTACGAGGCCAAAAGTCGTACGTAACATATTGTATTAAAATCACACACGTTTAATATATCAATATAACTTAATTACATACCAAAAATTAACCATGGTCTTATAACAGAGTGCAAAACATCAAGGGACACAAAGCGCTACCGTATCACAAACGTGGAGTGCGCCACCGGCAAGGTGATTACAAACATATTATTTTAAAAATGACCTTACTACATTACATTTACACACACACACACCCATACAGCAATGCACATCATACGGCTGCTGCCACGACACACCCCCTACTGAACCCCCACCGCCAACTCCCACAACACCTAAACCCACGCCCACTACACTGAGTACCACTACAGTCAACCCCGATTATAAGTGCCCGGCCATTGCGGGCGACTACAGGGACGCCTCCGACGCGCACCGGTACTGGAGTTGCCACGAGTTTGAGCCGATACAGGAGTTCACGTGCGCCTACAACGAGTACTTTAACGACTGGTCCGATGTGTGTAAAATAGATTACCGGTATTATATCGGGTGCAATGGTCAGGTCGGTTGGCACCGCAACCCATACGACTGTCACTCGTTCTACTGGTGCTACCAAATTGGCGGCGACCCCACCGGCCATATATACGGTCCGGTGTTTTACGAGTGCGCCAACGATACAAGTGGTCACCCTATGGTGTTCGACGAGGCGCTGGAGACCTGCGCCCCG